TTTGCTATAGGGTGCGTGCGCTCGCCAGACAGAGAGACATAGAGACAGAAAACGAGAAATCACCCCCCAGGGGGGTTGGTCACGCCGCAGTCCCTTCTCCTCCATTCTCCCCTCAGGATCTTGGGCACGCATGCACACGCGCCCGGCGTGAGTTCTAAGCCACCGGGTCCAGGACGAAAACCGTGGTCGACTACGTGGGAGTCCAGCAACATAGCCATTATGCTAACTGCTGGTTCCCACACATCCCTTTTTTTGATATGAGTGAAATAGAAAGTATCATTCTGCCCTCAAGTCATAGGGTCTTTGTTCATTACTGGTTACCAGATTTTGAAATTAAATACCTCAAGATTAGTAACTCTTTAAAGTCTTGTTTGTTAAGACACCCTTCCCCAGCACTCACACATAGGTCTCAGGTTAACTGTCCCTTTCTCAGAGACTGCTGACCCCTGGACTATGGTTTGGTAGTACTCTGCCTTATGTTCCAGGGCCTCCTCCATCAGAACATTCATAACCTTTTCATTGTATTTACTTGCTTAAGGTCTGGAAGGGCAGAAACCATCTCTCTAATTTTCCTCTTTACAATTTCTAATGCAATGCTGGTGGAAGACATATTTTTAAATCAAGTTGATGAGTTAATAAGCCCATTTTGAAGCACACTGGAAAATTGATGTGTGTCCTTCATAAAGAGCTAAAACCAATGTACAGTATAATATTCCTGGTTAAGAATCATCATTTCCTGGAGCTTTTTCCCATTTGTTACTAGCAGTAGACATTGGTTTTCTGTTGGATGGTGTGTTTTCACCAAGAAGTATTCTGTTCATTATTTCTTAAAAACTACTACAACTATTAAAATGAAAGAATAATCATAAACATGTAAGTGTAGAGATGTTCATACTCACTGAGTGGCTTGTACCACGCAACTTGTGATTCAGATTTATGGCACACCAAAATTGCAATTCTTGTGTCAGAAATCTTTAGAGGTGCTTGAATGTAGAAAACAGAATATTAAGTCTCTCTGAATGTCAAGCACCTACTATGTTTAATCAGATTGTCCTCCTTACTCATAAACTGAGGGGGGAATGGACGAGGGGCAGGAAGGAGGTAATCAGGTAACGAGAAGCCCCTGGAGGTAGTGAGGAGAGGTTTCTAGATACATGAAAGGGGCAAGAATGTGCCAGAGGTAAACATTGCCCTTTTTCAAGGTTTCAGCAGCAGCTGGCTCTGCTCTAAGTAAAGATGCCAAAAACTCTCAACTTGTCCTGAATAGCATGATCCTTGTTCTAAAGCCCCTAAATCCTGCTAGAATTGTTGTATGTGAAGTGGGCAAGAAGGGCTACATCAGAACAGAGCTGCTGATGGCATTTTTTGTTTCTGATGTGACATGGCGAACTCCTATTCATTCTTCTTTTTTGAGAGGTTTTTGCTATAGGGCGCGTGTGCTCGCCAGACAGAGACAGACAGAGAGACAGAAAGTGAGAAATCACCCCCCCAGGGGGAGATGTCCACGCCGTAATCCCTTCTCTTCCATCCTCCTCTTGGGATCTTGGGCATGCACGCACATGCGCCTGGCGTGAGTTTAAGGCACCAGGTCCGGGACACGATCCGTGGTCGACTACGTGGGAGTCCAGAGACATAGCCATTATGCTAACTGTTGGTCCCACCTATTCATTCTTAAAAATGCTGTATAGTCTTCTTCTTCCAGGAACATTTTTCCTGATTTTTACTTCCCCTGTCCTTTCACTCCTCATAGCTCTATTTCTTTCATCATATTTTATTCTCACTTATTTATCTGTTGGCTTCTTTAAGAGAGGACTTATGTCTTTTTTGTTTGTTTGTTTTGTTTATAGCTGAGATATTACCTGAGTACCTGGCCCACCATGGGCAATCAATAAATATTTGTTGAAGTCAGCTAATTAATTACATGGAATTAATTAGTGTGTGCATACAATATGTGACCTTTTGTATCTGGTTTCTTTTACTTAGCACAATATATTCATAGTTCATTCATATTGTAGTTTGTGTCAGTACATCATTCCTTTTCATGACTGAATAATATTCCATTGTATAGATAGACCCCATTTTGTTTATTCATTAAACAGGTGACAAACATTTGAGTTCTTTCCACTTTTTTTTTTGCTTATTATGAATACTGCTGGCTATGAACATTCTTGTACGAGTGTGTGTGTGTGTGTGTGTGTGTGTGAATTTTCAATTTTCTTGGGTTTATATTATACCTAGGAATAGAATCACTAGGTCATATGGTAACTGTGTGTTTATGAAACTGAAGAATTGTATTCCAAAGAAGTTGTACTGACGATTGCTATTCCCATTAGCAAAACGTGAGGGTTTTAATTTCTCTACATCTTTCATATTTGCTAAGACTTGTTATTATCCACTGTCTTTCTTATTATAGCTGATCTAGTGGGTGTATCTTAGTGTGGTTTTGATTAATGATGTGCATTTTCAGGTGTTTATTGGCCATATGTCTATCTTTGGAGAAATACCTTTTCAAATTTTATATTATTAATTGGACCAATATATTAATTGGTCCAGGACACGAACTGCAGTTGACTATGTTTTTTAAATATTGACTTGTAAGAGTCCTTTATATTCATGTATTCTGGATCATAGTCCCTTATCTAATGATTTGCAGATATTTGGGATGTCTTTTCATGATTTTAATAGTGTCCTTTAGAGCACTAAAGCTTTGATATTGATAAAGATGAATTTCTTTTGTTGCTTATGCTTTCGACATCATGTCTAAGAAACCATTGCCTTATCCAAGGCCATGAAGATTTACGTTTGTTTTCTTCTAAAAGTTTTATTGTTTTTAGCTCAAATACATTTAGGTATTTGATCTATTTAAAATTTTTTTCTTTTTTTTTTTTATATATGACATGAAGGAGAAGTACAACTTTATTCTTTTGCATGTTGGATACCGTTGTTCCAGCATCCATTTACTGAAAAGACCACTCTTTTCATATTGAGCTGTTTTGGTATTTTTGTTAAAAGTCAATTATTCATAACTGTAAGGATTAATCTCTGGACTCTCAATTCCATAGATCCATATATTTATCTTTTTTTTTTAAATTTTGCCAGAGGGCCAGTGTGCTCACCAGAGAGAGAGATAAAAGCATTCTCTTCCTCCTCCCCCCTTCCCCCAGGGAAATGTTCACACCACAGTATTTCTCCTCCATTTCTCCCTCCTGGTCATGCATGCAGTGTGTTTTTCAAGTCACTGGTCTGAGACTTGGAATCTGTGGTCATTCATGTAGGATCCAGTCACATACATCTATCTTTATGTCGGTATCACACAGTCTTGACTGTAACTTTGTAATAAATGTTGAGATCTAGAAGCATGAGTCCTTCAATTTTGTTTTTTTTCTTTTCTTTTTTCAAGATTATCTTGGCTATTGAGATCTAGAAGCATGAGTCCTTCAATTTTTTTTTTTCTTTTTTCAAGATTATCTTGGCTGTTTTATTTCTCTTGCCTTTTCGTATGAATTTTAAGGTAATCTTGTCAACTTCTGAAAAAATGGTATCTAGGATTTTAAGAGGTGTTGGATTGAATTTGAAGATCAGTTTGGTGGAGGATCATCATTTTTACAATATTAAGTGCTCCGATTCATAAATACAGGGTTCTTTCTTCCTGTTTACTTAGATCTTCTTTAACTTCTTTCCATGTCATCCTGTAGTTTTTGATGTACAGATCTCGTACTTTTTCGGTTAACTTTATTCATAAGTATTTCAGTGTTTCAATGCTATGGTCAACATGATTGCTTTCTCAGTTTCAGTTTTGGGTTGTTTATTGCTACTGTATAGAAAAAAATTAATGTTTGTATATTGATCTTGTTTCCTACCATCCTGTGGTATTCATTTATTATCACTAAAAGATTTTTTGTAGATTCCTTAGCACTTATTACATATAAGATCATGTCATTTGCAAATAGAGATAGTTTTACCTCTTGCTTTCCAAGCTAGATGGCTTTAATTTCCTTTTCTTGTCTTAATTACTTGGGCTGGTACATATAGTAAACTTTGAATAGCAGTGGCAAGAACAGACATCCTTGTTTTGTTCCTGACCTCAGAGGAAACTATCCAGTCTTTCCCTAAATTCCCTACTAAGTATAATGCTAGCTGTGGAATTTTTGTAGATGCCCTTTGAGAAAGTGCAATTCTATTCCTAGGAACCTTTTTTATATCTTCCCTGGTATCTCTATTCAACTCTTTGCTGAGAAAGGGTGTCACAGTGACTGCAGTCCTTCTCCCTGGAAGGGTGTTGAGGTGTCACTACATGGAGTGAGGCAAGGGCATTTCATGCTTATTTACTTTCTATAGCTTCACCAGGTTCTGACAGCAGTAGGTAAGGGTCTCTGGACACTGTTGTGTTTGAGGCCCTTCCTTTTGGCTTGTTGTAATGGGAAGGTTTGTCACATTGCATCAGTCAGTGGTGCTCCCGGGACCAGAAATTCTTCATCCACAGCTATATCAAGGCCTTCGCTGTGAGGGCCCATCTCTGTCTCTCAGCAGGGTCTTGCTGTGCCCTGGGACTCCTGTGCCCATGTCTCCCCCCCATCCCCTTACCGTTTTTAATTCTCGGCACGTGGAGCACAGCTGCTTGTTTCTGAGATGTGTGAGGTTGTTCTGGTTCCTCCTGCCCTGAGGGGAAAGATAGACAGAGAGAGATGAAGACATGGGCTGGGGAGCTGAGAGGTAAGAGTTTTTCCTTGCATAAAATAGAGACAGGCATTCTGGATCAACCTCACCCAGGGTGGACATTAAGTCTGAAGTCTGCAGAGGTTCAGATAGGGTTTAGGAAGGAAGGAGCCTGCCTCAGACCAGGTGGTGGTCTTGGGTCGCTCATGTGGTGCGACAGGTGGAAGGATAGAGGCAGAGGGGCTGGGGCTGGGGCGGCCAGTGCCTTCTTGGCTTCCAAACTGAGTACCCATGGCTGAGGCTACACCCTACAGGGGGCACATGTTCTCATTTCTGACAAGGGTTCCACAGCACGGTCTAGGCGAGAACCTCTGACAGCCAAGAAAGAATGGAGAGAAGACTTTTCTGCCATCCTCCTTTCCCCAGTCCCTCCCTGGAATTGTCCTCTCTTCTCAGGTCTTGGATTTGGTCCAACATCACTTCCCAAGAAGCCACAGCCCAACTCCTCTCGTCCCTTCTGTACCTCCTGAGAGACATGAATTAAGCCACAAGTAGAACTGGGGCTGCAGTGTGGGTCCTGAGACCCTGCCCTTTACTGGGGAACAAAGGCTGGCCAGGGCAAGTCAGGGCAAAAAAAAAAAAGAATCAGTGGAGGCAAGTTGGGCACTCTGTCTGCTCACTGTAATCAAGGGCTTCATTCTTACTTCATCTCCGCAAAAGGGTAAAGGGAAAAGGAGAGGGCTTGGCATATTTACACCTGGAACTCCAGGCTGTAATTTGCATTTCTGGTAAAAGGTTTAGTTAAGGAACAAATGAAAACTTAAGGCTAAATTTATGTGTGAGATGCTCTCTCACCTTGCCTCATGCACACCGATATCAGAGTGGTGGAATTTGCTCACAGGAAGTGTTGGCCGTGGGAAAAAAGAGGGTGACAATCAGAAAAGTGAAACTTCTTTCTCCCATGCAATGGGCTTGCTGGCCTATCACTACTTATGTGCCCCAACCCAGGTCAGTTGCCCTGGGAGGCGAGGGAGCAAGAAGAGAAGGCATGTATTTATGTTGATGCTTTTGCGGACTTGGTCTGCAAGTAGCATTGTCCTGGAAAAGACAGAGGGAAATTGGGTGGGGCTTCATTGGGATTTTGAGGGACTGAAAACTATGGAAGAAATTGGATTCTTTCGACAAATATTTAAAATGCACTTTATTTTTATAGGCCGTTTTAAAAGAATCAACTCAGTATTGCAATGTTGTGGGTTGGTATGTTAAAAGTATGAATGTGAATGACTAGATTCATTCTTTCACCAACAAATATTTATTGTGAGGCCACATGTGGAGGGAGGGTGGTATGAGAGGATCACAAAGATGAATAAGACAAAGTTCCTGGCCCCGAGAAAGACATGAGAAGATTCTAGATCTACTCGTTTGTTTTTATGTTAGGTACTAGGGGCAGTGAGAGAAATAAGACACAGCTTCTGACCACCAGCTGCTCACCACCCAGTGGACGATGGACCAAGAAGCAGACGGTGTTGCAGGTACTATTCACAAATATATTGAGGCCACAGTGAAACATGTTAACAGGTTGTTGAGCTCACTTCAGGGGTGAGGCAGAGAGGAAAGACTCTGAGAAGGGTCAGGAAAAAAACCACAATGCTTGGGCAAGTGTTTATGGGGTAAATGGGAAGAGGGGAGGCATTTCAAACCCAGAAAATACTGAAACAACACAGAAGAAAAACACAGCAAATAAACTTCAGGTAAGGTGGGAGGAGGAATGGAAGAGAAGAGTCTAGAAAAATGTGTGTGGGATATATCAACTCCTTTGCTTCAGGACAATTCAACTTTCTCCCCTGTCTTCCCCGATAACTCTGGGGGTGGAATCTCTGCAGATCAGGCTCCTCTATTTATCCCTTAAATCTCTGAGTCTGAGACCTCTTGAAAACTGCAATTCAAGTGATTTCCATGGGCCTTCAGGAAAGAGAGAGACCACTTCTGATTAGAAGAATCAAGAATGGCTTCCTGGAAGCTTCACTTGTGATTGGTTTGAAGGATGAGGACAACCTGGACAGATGCAAGTAAATGTGGGGAAATCCTCGGATGGGCTTGTTTTTAGTAGAGTGATAAGCAGATTATTGTCTTCTCTGCAATTGATTTCTTGACTTTTTTCCAGACCTCTAGTTTCCTACTACCAGATCCTTCCAGGTCCAAAATCACAGGGTTCATTACAATCGAGTGACAAATACATTCATGAGGTCTCCTGGGTGCATGGCAGGATCTCTCTAGGTTAATGACTACCAGAAACACGATTACAGAGTCTCACAACCCTAATGGTTGTCATCTCATGAAACCTGAAGAACAAAATATTTTGCATATTGCCCTATCTGTCCTTGTTAATCCTTTCTCCTCCATTCTCCTCTTGGGATATTGAGTCTCCGCACACATGCCCAGTGCGTTTTTCAAGCCAGGACTCAAATTGCTCAGTAGACCATGTGAGATCCAGCTATCACACACCATCTGCCGGCCCTCTTTTGCTCCTTTCTGCTCCTCACTTAACTGAGACCTCATAGGTCAGGTGTTTCGGTTTTCAATTAACCCAGTGAAGAAACTGGGGCTTAAAAAGGCTAACAGGTCTGTCGACTAGTACAGCTATTTACTTTCTGTTGGCTAGAAAGGTTTTTTTATTTATTTTGTTTTTTCCTTCTGGATAAAAAGGTCAAAGACAGACTATCCTTCCTCAAGGTAAGAGTGAATTCTTTTATTTTTTTTTGAATTATTTAATTTTACTTATTACAATTTTTAATTTGCTATAGTGCACATATGGGAGGAGAGGTGGTGAGAAAGCAAGCTGTCAGGTCTGGGACTCAAACCATGGTCAACCACGTTGGAGTCCAGCACTTCAACCACCATGCCACCTGCTGACCCCAAGAGTGAATTCTTAAAATCACTCTTGTGAACTGAAGGTGTGGTTATTCCTGTACCCCTTGGAGTTCAAGATCTAGTCAGAAAACTAGTTTCAATATTCCGCAAGTGTTTATGGGGTAAATGGGAAGAGGGGAGGCATTTCAAACCCAGAAAATACTGAAACAACACAGAAGAAAAACACAGCAAATAAACTTCAGGTAAGGTGGGAGGAGGAATGGAAGAGAAGAGTCTAGAAAAATGTGTGTGGGATATATCAACTCCTTTGCTTCAGGACAATTCAACTTTCTCCCCTGTCTTCCCCGATAACTCTGGGGGTGGAATCTCTGCAGATCAGGCTCCTCTATTTATCCCTTAAATCTCTGAGTCTGAGACCTCTTGAAAACTGCAATTCAAGTGATTTCCATGGGCCTTCAGGAAAGAGAGAGACCACTTCTGATTAGAAGAATCAAGAATGGCTTCCTGGAAGCTTCACTTGCGATTGGTTTGAAGGATGAGGACAACCTGGACAGATGCAAGTAAATGTGGGGAAATCCTCGGATGGGCTTGTTTTTAGTAGAGTGATAAGCAGATTATTGTCTTCTCTGCAATTGATTTCTTGACTTTTTTCCAGACCTCTAGTTTCCTACTACCAGATCCTTCCAGGTCCAAAATCACAGGGTTCATTACAATCGAGTGACAAATACATTCATGAGGTCTCCTGGGTGCATGGCAGGATCTCTCTAGGTTAATGACTACCAGAAACACGATTACAGAGTCTCACAACCCTAATGGTTGTCATCTCATGAAACCTGAAGAACAAAATATTTTGCATATTGCCCTATCTGTCCTTGTTAATCCTTTCTCCTCCATTCTCCTCTTGGGATATTGAGTCTCCGCACACATGCCCAGTGCGTTTTTCAAGCCAGGACTCAAATTGCTCAGTAGACCATGTGAGATCCAGCTATCACACACCATCTGCCGGCCCTCTTTTGCTCCTTTCTGCTCCTCACTTAACTGAGACCTCATAGGTCAGGTGTTTCGGTTTTCAATTAACCCAGTGAAGAAACTGGGGCTTAAAAAGGCTAACAGGTCTGTCGACTAGTACAGCTATTTACTTTCTGTTGGCTAGAAAGGTTTTTTTATTTATTTTGTTTTTTCCTTCTGGATAAAAAGGTCAAAGACAGACTATCCTTCCTCAAGGTAAGAGTGAATTCTTTTATTTTTTTTTGAATTATTTAATTTTACTTATTACACTTTTTAATTTGCTATAGTGCACATATGGGAGGAGAGGTGGTGAGAAAGCAAGCTGTCAGGTCTGGGACTCAAACCATGGTCAACCACGTTGGAGTCCAGCACTTCAACCACCATGCCACCTGCTGACCCCAAGAGTGAATTCTTAAAATCACTCTTGTGAACTGAAGGTGTGGTTATTCCTGTACCCCTTGGAGTTCAAGATCTAGTCAGAAAACTAGTTTCAATATTCCAAATACCCTATGAGAGTTACACAGTTTCCTTCTTTCTGAAAATTCCAGTCTGTTTTTTTATTTTTTGTTTTTTTTTTTTTTTAGAGAGAGATTTTGTTATAGGGCGAGCACACTCAACAGAGTGACAGGGATACAGAAAGAGAGAAATCATTCCCGGGAGGGGGCGGGTAGGCCCCTGCTCAGTCCCTTCTCCTCCATTCCCCTCTCGGAATTTTGGGCAGTCATGCACATGTACCTGGTGTGAGTTTTAAGCTGCCAGGTCCAGGACTCAAACCATGGTTGAGCAAGTGGGAGTCCAGCAACGTAACTATCATGCCATCTGCTGATCCCAAAATTCCAGTCATTTTGATTAAAGAATAAAACAGTTCAAATGCTCTTACTCTTCACTAGAACAAATTTTAAATGCACATAAAATGACAGTCAACTATCTCCCGCCTAGACGGTTTACACTTGGTTTCATTACCATTGTCTTTTCCCCACCAGTAGTGCTTGTTATTACTTCTCTTTAAAACCTGTTTCTATGGTGGATCGCTGGAAACAGGAAAAGGAATCAGGAGTGCATGAGGTGGTTTCCTTGGTGGCCACGAGCTTTTAAAATTCAGAGTCAAGAAAAGAGAAATAGTAAAAAAGTGTTTTTCATGGTAAGAAAATAGAAAGTCACCATCCTAT